GGCAAACACCTCTCTCTGCCTGCCAGGCTCCAGCTGGTGGTTTCTGGGTCCTGAGTTGTTTTGCCCCTCTGTGACCCGTGGCAGAATTGTCTTCCTGAGCACACAGCAGAAGGTGGAGGCTGGAGTGTTGGAGCTTTATTGTTGATATTTGGATACACTGGCCATGAAGGTCAAATAAACAGGAAGGAAGATAATCTTTATGCTCTGTTGGCAAGGACTGGCTGTGGCTTTCTCCCAGCTTGCTTCCCTAAGATGAAGGAGCCAAAATTTTTTCAGAGGTATATGGTAGTTGTCCTTTGCCCTGCTGCTGGGTGAGTGTTGCTATGGGCTTCCTTGGCTTAAACTGATCACAGTAGTTTTTTGGGGGGAGAGTTTGGAGGATTAACTGGTTTTGTTAAAATGTTTTGACTTCCTTGCAAACACCCCTAGTGTCATATGGTTTATTCTTAGGAACATCAACTCTGCCTTCATGAAATAAGCCTGGTGCCTGGGGCCACAGGTGAGTAAAGGAAAGACTTTGTGGGATTGGGGGGCAGGAGATGCAGGAAGTGGGGCAGGACAAGGGATCTGCAGCTACAGGTCCAGGGCATGGATGAGCACTGAGAGGTATCACTGAGGGTGCTATACTGTGGCTGTGTACCTGTAGCACTGAAGCCAAGGCCTGAAGGGTTCCTGCTACACCTCAGGGCATTGATTGTGCCCAGTGTGCTTCTGCCCTGGTGACTGCAGTCACAGCAGTGCCATGCCCCACCCTGCTCCCACAGCAATATCTGTAAGAGGCCCAGGGACCACTGGATTTTGACTTGTGTGCTCTAAGAGTGTCTGGGGAACCTTTCAGCTGATTTTCTCACCAGTGTCACAGTGCACTGCCCTTTGCCTTTGTGGTAATGCGGGCACAGCAGCCAGTGGCTTTTTGGCTGTGCTACTTCCCAAAGTGGATGATGGGGATACGTGCTCCAACAGGAGGTGTGTGCCTGCTGGCATGCTCAGCAATTACTCACCAGCAGCTGGGCTGATACCAACCATTACAGCATGCAAGGGAGATGCTTACATTGTCTCTCCCAACAGCCTAGGGTAGGAGATTAGGCTCTCTGCATCAGCAGTGGCAAGAAAGTCCCAGGGGAGCCATTCAGGGCATATTAGATTCCCACTCTGAATCATGCCCTGGAAGATGCAGTCTCATTATTGCCTGCATCAAGGCCAAGCGAAGACTAAGCTTGTTAGTTAATATTTAGCAGGGTAGCTCTGTCTGTACAATCAGCTTTGCTGAGTTCTGAAAGCTTGAGAGACACTGTCATGGCACAGCCATGTGCAGCAAAGAAACTGGTGTGGGGCTAAGGGGAACAATGAAACAAGTCAGCAGGCCTGGGGAGGAGATGGTGCTTTTCCTCTTCTGCTCAGCTGACAGCAGTCTCAAAAAGTGTCTCGGAGCAGACTTAAAAAAAAAAAAAAAAAAAAAAAAAAAAGAAACAATCGAAACAAGAGACAAGCTGAGAGCTGGCTGCACAGAAGCCAGGACTCTCCCGTGTCCATCGTCTCCCGCCGCGTGGATTCCCTGTCGAGGCGATTTGCGGGGCAAAAATAAATCACAAAACTCACACGGAAGAGGGAAGGGCGCTAAGCGCGGCCGGGCGGCCACTGCCCCCTGGCGGCCCCAGCCCGGGCTGCGGCTCCGCTCCAGCCCCGGGGACCCGCCTGTCCCCCGGCCGCCTCCGGCTCTCACCGCCTGGGCACGAGGTTATAAACCCGCCTCTTCAACCCCCTGCACCCCGCGTGCGAGGGCAGCAGCAGCAGCTCCTGTTTGTTTATCTGACACGGGCAGAATAAGCAAGTGACTTGTTGGTGTTGCAAAACGAATCTTCCTGCAGCCGCCTCTTGGGAAAAGCTGCTGCTCTCCTGCCCTTGGCTGTGCACATGGGGGATCCCCCAGTGTTGTGCCCATGCCAACCCAGTCCAGCACAAACGAGAAATTCAGAAGATGCAGACCAAAACCCATCACCTGCCAAACCAGCAGAGATGATTCCTCTGACCCCAGGCATCCCTTGGGTGCAAGGGATGAGAAGCTGTGCCCTTGGTTGGTGAGCCTCTGCCCAGAGATGCCTTCAGAGCCAGAGCCTGCAGCAGCCCTGCATGGGTGCCCCGTGCTGCAGCACCCCGGGCTCGCAGCACCGTGTGCAGCTCCACCTTCCCCTCCCTCACACACAGAGCCTCGGCTGCACAGTGCTCCCTGCCAGAGCGATACACATCGCTTCTCCCAGCTGAGAAAACACCAGCGGGGAACTGCCGGGAGCGCAGGCCGCAGCCAGGAACTCCCACAGCAGCACCTGGCTGCAGCTCCCACGGCACAGCCGGGCTGCGTGGGGAGCCCGGCACCCCACCAAGCCCTGCCTTGCCCGGCTCGGCCTGGCTCCCGGCCCGGCTCGGCCTGGCTCGGCCCGGCTCCTGGCACTCCGAGCACACCTGTGAGGCTGCGGCTGCCAGCGGCTCGTCCAGGGCCTGCACCTCAGTTTGATGGCACGTGTGGGTCCTGCTCTGTGGAGGCCAAATGTGAGAAGAGTCCCCAGAGCTGAGCAGGAACCTGCTGCAGCTCGGGGCTGTGCCGTGGAGCCGCTGTGCAGCTCCCAAGGAGAAGCTGGGAAGCTGGAGAGGATGGCAGCCACCTTGGCTGGCAGGTGGAGAATGGTGCTGTGCTGGCAGTCACGGGCTGTGCTTGTGTGGAGCCACCTCTCTGCTCACCCCTGCCTCAGTCTCCAGGTCCCAGTTTCCCTGGCTGGTGTTGCCACAATGTTGAGGGAGCCTGGAAAGATTGGCTTTGAGTTCCATTTGCACTCAATGATGTGGGAGGGCTGCTCAGCTCTCAGGTGTGGACAGGCGTTTTTCAGGCACTTCTGTTTCAGTGTTCAGCATTTAGCCCAACCATCTCCAGGTTTTACCTGTACTTCTCATTTCCCCACCAGCAGCACCAACATGAAGCTAGGCAGAAGAAGGTTTGAAGGCGAAGATGTTGTGGTGGCCCCTTGGAAGGGATTTTCAGCTCTGCCCTAGAACAGTGAACTCTAGCAAGGTGTTTCCCAGTTTTTTAGGAGATTCTCTGATGTCCTCCAGTTTTTCCTGAGCTTCCTGAGTGAAACCCCTGGAAATCTGCTGACTTCTTCCTGTTTTCTTCCTGAGGTTGTTTTCATTTGTTGGCTGGTTTGTTTTTGTTTTTGTTTTGTCTCTTTGTGAATCTCTGATTAACTCAGCTTCTGATTCCTTGGCAGTCACCTCTGGAGACAGCGCTGAAGATTTCCACACATGTGATCCATCTTCTTCTTGGCTGCATAGCCCTCAGTGCTGGAATTGGGTAAGAAATGTTACAACAGACCCTAGTACACCAGAGCAGGGGTGTTAGGAAATAAAATATTGCACAGTGCTGCGTGAAAAACTCTTTGATTAATTAAAGGCGTGGGCGGCTACACAATTGCATCAAATTATCCACGCGCCATGGCAGAATGTGAGATAAAGGCATTGATTTCTTATTCCAGAGACATGGTCAAGCAGCCCTTGCCAAGCCTGCAGAGAGCTGCTGGCCTGAAGGTGAGCAGGAGTATTTCCATGGAGATGTTTTCCACAGGAGCAGGAGGTAAGGGTGGCCTCCACCATGCTGTGCCTAGAAGGTGCTGCAATGCCCGTGTGAAAGGAGCCTGGCCCCAGAGCAGTGCCCACTGCCCTCCCCAGGCTGATGCTAAGCAAATACCCAGCCCTGAGCACTGGCCTGTGGAGGCCAGTCCTCCCGCTCTGGGGAGCCTCAAACCCACAACATCCTTTGAAAATGCTGAGCAGGCCTTCCCTTAGCTGGAGGAGTAGCCTGTGGTGATTTCTGGCTGCCACTGAGGGTGATTTGCTCTCCTTAGAGAAAAGTTTTATTCCAGCTTTAAGTGACTGGGTAGCAATACATTTGCCTCTATTATGGTTTATATTCTAGTTTTCCTGCTGCTTAATTAGTGATTGAACAGGAGGAAGTTGTTTAGGAGCTATCAGCGGGCAGGACTGTGCTGTGCATTGGAGGTTTAGGGCTCACAGTAAAAACACATGCACCAGAACCACACACAAACTTGGTTTTGCACAACTCTAACAGCAGAGAATCAGCTTGCTGTGAAGAAGAGATGTCTGAACGTGTTTTACCTGGCCCAGAACCTTATCATTTTACCCAGGGGTAAAACATGAGCGAGTAACCATTAAGGCAAGTACGTTAGTCAGGCCATGGGCAGCAGCTGTCTCAGATGGTTTCAGCCCTGCCTCGGAGGTGAGGAAATGGGACATGACCGAAAGCCCTGCTAGGGTTGCCAGCAGCCACATGAAGATGGGCAGGTGAGGAGGTGAAGGCATCCTGGATCCTACACAGGCAGTGACCAGCTGCTCTCTGAAGAGGCCCCAGCTGAATGAAATTGGAGTTTGTTTGTTTATTTGCTGTTGTTTTTGCAGTAGTGTCCCCATGGCCAGGAAGCAGAACAGAGATGTTTCAGAAGAGATAAAGCCAATGGAGAGAATCTAGCTGAAAAGAAACTGTAGCTCTTGAGTCTCACATCTCCATTTGAAGTGAGGTGATACTGGGCCTGAGGAGAGCACAGATTAATCCTTGCATGCCTGCTTAGGCCAGGGCATCTGGAATAGCTTTGACAGCTGAGACAGGCAAATCAAACCCAGTGAAACTGCAGAAAAGGATGCCCAAGACTGACATCTACACTAATTCAGGCCAATTTCCTAAGTCTGATTTTCTTCCCATTCATGCTGGTATAGCTGGCTGTGAGCATGCTCCCTGCAAGTGAGAGAAGAGCAGTGCTAGCTGGGGTGGCCAGGCATGACAGGGAGAGAAAAGGTCATGGTGGTGTTCCCAGAGCTAGCCTGTGTTCCCAGGCAGCACTCTGACCTTTTCCCCCTTCTAGGGTAGAACAGGATGATCCCTTTGGTGCATTTATCCCTGTTCATGCCAAGTGTGCAGAGCTGCCTTCAGACTACCATGGCCTGGCACACTGTGACTATTGGCTTGCAGAGCTACTGAAGGACAAGAAAACAAAAAGTCCTGTTGGGTTTTCTCCAGAAGCTGCAGGTATTTATAAGGAATTAGCAGCAGCCGTGCCATTTCTTGGGAAGGGTGGAAGTGCTGGAAGTGAGATCAAGTTTGAAGGCAGCAGGGGAGAACCCAGGGCAGTGCCTGGGGTGTGCAGCACGTGGGTCTTCCCAGTCCTATGCAGTGCTTACAGTGGGAGCAAAATGGGATTAAAGCTCTTCCCCATAGCCTGGAGCATGGGCTACCCAGCAGGAGCTTCTGACCTGGAAATTTCCTTTTGCTGCTAGGCCCATCACAAGAGCAGGAGAGATGTTTGTTATCTTTTCTGGTGGCGCCAGCAGTTGAGCAAGAGGAGTGGGAGGCTGGCTGCTGGCTCCTGTATCCGTGCCATCAGGAACTCCCACCTCATCCCGCTGGGTGGGGGACTCACAGGCTCGGTAGCATTCCTGGTGTGGTGCATCTCCCCTTTTGTTTCACTGTAATTAGTCTGAAAAGGGAGAAAGGATGTGGCATCTTCCACCTCAAGGGGAACTAAAGGCTCATTAGCAGGGTGCGGGTCGTGGCTGCAGGGGCATCTTATGGGCAAACAGGGAGGGACGTGCCCGGTGCCAGCGGAGCAGGGCAGGGTGTGTGCTCATCAGCCAGGATTTCTCACTCCCTGCAGCGCCTGGCTTTGGTGCAGGCACGTTTACTTTCCCTGCAGCCTCTCAGGAGGCTCCAGAAGGGTGGGCAAGGCCGAGATGCCAGGAAAGCCTTGTGGCAGCATCTTGTGGGCTTGTGGCTGACAGGGTGGACCTGGCAGGTTGCATGGCACAGAAGAGCACAGCACATCATTTGCTCGTGGCTGAACTTTTGGAAGATGCTCATGAACATCCGTCTCTTCATAGCCATGAGCGAGATGGAAAAACCCTCTGGGCTGCTCTGCTTGCAGAGATGCTGAGAAGGCTCTGTGAGTCACCCGGGGAAGCACAGCGTACAGCCAGGCTCCAGAGAAAGTCCAGATGCACTTCATCCCATCCCTGAGAGTCACTGTCTGGGACACAGCTTGGGGTGGGGATGGGTATGCTGTGTTTGCTCAGAGCGCCTCAGGGTGTCAACCACACATGGCTCAGGGCTTTCCCTGGGCACTTCAGTGACAAACCCCTTCCCTGCAGCTGTGCAAAATGAGTGCAGTGATCACCCCACTGCTGCTGAGGAGTTCACAGCCTGCCCCATCCTCTCCCAGGACCATGGGCTGACTTCATTTTTCCTTTGATCCGCTGGCCAGAGGAAGGAAGGAGGGGCTCAGCCTTTTCCAGTGTGCTTGGTGGGGAGAAAAATGCTGTGGGAGGTGGCTGAGAGCTCGCTCTCCCCACCTAGACAGGGAGGCCATCCACCCACACCCAGTTCTTCTGCTTGGAGGAGCCAGGTTGTGCTGTAGGCAGGTAACTGTCACAGAGTAGATAGACGTGAAACTACTCAGCTTCTTCAGCCTCACCCAGGGCCAGAAGGGTTTTTTGAAAACAAAAATAAAGGGAAAAATACAGTCCCCACCCTTCCACCCATTTTGGTTGGCAAATCAAATAAAACAATCTCAAAGCTGGCACCACAGGAGCAGTGAATGCCAGCTCCCAGCCTCTCACATGAGGTGTTGAAATTAAAGGAGCTGAACAAACAACCCCCAGGTGCCTGGGGGCTGCAAACTGGTTTTAAGATGCTGGTGGGTTGTTTTTTCCTCTGTGGTGGTGGGAGCAGCTCCCCACAATGGCCACGTGACTGGGGAACTGCCCCCTATAGCAACTTGGTCACCCCTGGGCTATGGGCACACGTTGATTTGGCTCAGTGAAAAGGGCTTAGTGAGAAATGCATGTTACCACAGATGGTTTCCATGGACATCCTGGCCTGGGGCAATGCAGCCAGTGACAACATGGTGAAGGGGACATCAGGCTCAGCCATCACCTAAAATATGCCCAGCAGGGGCAGGGAGCCCTGCAAGGATAAGCTGGGTGCCAAGGTGTCCCACAGCAGCTGGAACTTCTGCCCTGGATGGATACACTGGGCCCACAGCTCTTGGGTTGTTGTAACTAATACGAGTCTTTAAAATACAGGTGGGGGGTTTCAGTGGTTTTACAGACAAAATTCCCCTGCTAAGGGCTATGTACACTCAGAGGTGGCTCTGGGTTTGCCATGAACAGATCTTGTCATGGGCACTATGAAGATTTTTTCAAAATTTGTCAGGGGATCCACATTCTCCTCTCTGGGGGTGGGAATGGTAAGACAGCTTCTTCTCCACCTATGCTACAGTCTAGTTACAGCACTGTGAGCAGCTGGGACATGCTCTGCAGGGCAGTCACACTTCTTCACAGCTGCTGCCACAATGCAGTCAAATCAAACACTCATTTCTTGCACTGGGGCTGCCTGAGGTGCATTGGTGGCCAAGTGGTGGCCTCATATCTCAGCAGTAAGATGGGGACAAGCGTTTAACCTGATGCTGTCAGGAGCACTGCAAGGAGGGGATCTTACCCTAGGCTGCCCTGGGATACCAGCCCCACTCCTGGCACTGCCAGGATCAGGCCGGCCAGTCTGCTGCAACATTTTACCCCTGAGCTTAGGAGGTTGCAGAAAGGCCCTGTGTGATGGAAGGGTGATTTTCCCTGGTGTTTCCCCCCCTGGCTCAGCTGCTGGGCTGGCATGCAAGGCCAGGCAGGAGGTGCTTATCAGCTCACCCCATCAGGGCAGCAGGAGAGGGTGCCCTGCCATCTCTGCTGCTAATCTCATTACAAATAAAGGAGGAGCAGAAGCTAAACTGAGCCCATATAAATTCCCCCTGCCCTGCCCTGCTCAGCTTCAGGAAATACCTACTAGAATTGCCATTCTCATTATCTAAACCATCCCTGGAAACAATCATTAGCTGACTTTCCCCTTTGTCAAGTGTGTCTTGCTCACCAGCCTGCTCTGTTTGCCCACAGGGCCCCCAGAGTGCCTGCTCCCAGCAGGGCTCCCAGCAGGACACACACTGCAGGCTCCTGTGCACACTTGTGCTGTGCCACCACAGCCCTGCACACTGCTGCCCAGCCAGACCACTGCTGGACCCTCTCCCCTGAAATTCAGGGGTGCTTTCAACCAGAAACAAGGTGAGGGTGGCCAGGGAGCTCTCTGAGTCACCTGTTTAGCTTTCTCAAGTTCCTCTAGTGTGCTGCAGTTATTTTTGGTGGGGTTGGATGCTGGCCAGGTGGTTGGGACGTGCTGACATTTATGATTTTTCTTTTTCTGCGTAACAAAAGTTTTGCTAAATGAGAAGGAAACAAACTCAGTGCCAGCTTTCACCATGTGTTTAAAACAAGATAAAAGCAATTCTGGGCTGGCCGTGGTATCCTCTAGAGCTGTGGAGACAGCAGTTTCCACGGGGGGATGGTCAGGTGGTCCACACACGCTGGGCTCCCGGAGGAATCTGGGGAGCTCTGTTGCTCTCAGTGACATCTGTTAGACCTGTCCATGAGGAGCCCCAGGCCCCAAGGGAAGGCAGGGCAGTGCTTGGGGTGAACAGCAGGGCAGGGTCTGACTGTGCATGGCTGCACTCTGTTGGGTCTGGTCCTCTCACTGACACAAGGCATCTCATCCATCTGAGTGCTGGTTTGGAAGTGGAGAGCTGGGAGGAGAAGCACACATATGTGGGGCCATCCACACGTGGGGAAGAGCACAGTGTCTTGGAACCTGGCCTGGGTCAAACCCCATTGCACAGGCAAGCAGGAACACATCCTCCAGGAAAAAGTGGCTCCTACAGTGGGGTGTAGACCTAAGGAGCAGTTGTGGAAACAAAAGACATACATACTTCTTTCCTCTTTTTATGTAATTCTTCCCCAAAGCAGGACTAGCCCATTTTTATCTCACTGCCAGCTGTTTTGTTCTTTTTTTCCCCCAGGCTGGGCAAGGGCGTGGATAGGAGGAAACAATTTTATTTTTTTTTTTTTTTTTTTTTTTTAATGACAGTTTTCATGGGAAGATGTTCAGCTGCCTGTGAGTGCCCAGGCTCTGCCCAGGTGTAAGCAGGAAGGATGAGCAGGGCTCAGTGCAAACTCCATCTCCTTGCTTTGCCCACTCTTTTCTGTGGCTGAGCTGGTGCAGCTCTCAGGCACTCAGGAGCTGCAATGCAAAGCTGACAAACCAGGGCAGGCTCTGCTCCCACCCACTGCCACAGCACCTCTGAGGTGGGGACACCCCTGCACAGGAACTGCCAACCCCACGGTGGGGATGGTGCCACCCAAAATGTCCATCATCAGGTCAGAGAGCCAGCAGCAGGGTGGGGGTACAGCAGCAGGGATGCAGCCCTGGGGTGGGGTGGAGTGGCAGCAGCAGAGGCTTTCAGCCAGGTGGGCTGCTGGCAGAGCTTGTCAGTGGGGCTCACGGGGTGATCAGAGCTGCTGTATTTTGGGGGTATCAGTCTAGAGCCTGGGAAATAAAGAGGACATACAAGAAGACCAAATACACCATAAATTTACCATAGCCCAGCTTAGAAATAATGGGGATTAGTCATCATCCAGTGGAGTTGTTGGAGACTGACTGTCCACATGGCTCTAAGCCTCCACAAGAACATTGGCAAGGTTCAGTTGCTTTAAATTAATGCCTCAGAAAGTCTCTCAGGCTAATGCCTATGGAATGTCCAGGTTCTTTTAGACTGTAGCCACTGGACATAAAGAGCTCTCAGCCTTGATTTTGGATTCAGAACTTTCTAAGTAGCCACAAGTCTTATTTTCAGGTGAGGTTTCAGGAGTGAGCTTTTGGCTGGAGAGAAGCTTTCAGCAGCCACTTGCAAAAGGCATTTACAGCCCAAGGGGGCTCAGCCTTAGGCTTTCTGCTGGCCTTTCTTGGAGGTTCTTTACTTACACAAGGTTTTTTCCATGCTCCTGCCCTCTGCACGAGCCATCAGGTGCCTTGCTCAGCTGTCATGTCCTGGTAGCGACTGCTCCCCAAGCCTTGGTGCTTTGGCTGCCACTGGCCCTTCACACTCTGTTGCTGCATCCCTGACTGCAAAGTACGGTCTTGCCCTTAATGAAGGCATCATTTAATCTGTGCTGCCCTGAAATATGATGGGCTTCCCTTTGCTGAGACAGAGCAGGCTCCCCCAGTGCCCCCACAGCCTGCAGCAGCTTTGTGCAAGGGCTGAGTGAACTTGGCTTGGGCCCACTTGGACATGAAAGCAAAATGAATCTCCTTGGGAGTAAAGGTCCCCTGGCATGGATTAAGAGCATGCAGGCTTCACTTTCAAAACCACATCCACACCCAAACACACAGAACCACCTCAGCTGTTTTAAATACTTTTAAATTCCATTGCGTTTCCTTTATGGGTAGGTTGTTTTTTTCCTCAATGACTGTCATAAATCAACCCCGCTAATCCCACTCTACATATATTATTATCATTATTAGGGAGGGCACAGCTGAGTGAACAAGGAACTAAGGCATGGTTCACCCACCTCCATCTCCAAAAGGCTCCTGTTGCTAGTGACAGAACTGGGGAATGTACAACACATGGCCAGCTCCTAAATGGGTTGTGCTTCCCTTTGGTGGGCAAGCCTTGGAGCTGGCCTGGGAGCCATGAGGTGTGCTCTGAAGTGCACAGCAGTTTTGAGCTCAGTGCTGTGACTGCAGGCACTGCCTCCCTGGGGAGCTGCTTCATGATGGGGCTTTAGGAAGCAGCAATTACCAGACTGGCAGGTCAGGAGAGGAGTAACAGCATGGACCCAGGTAGGAGGAAACAAAAATATAAGTGCACTAGGTCATCCCTGGGGCATATTTGATCAAGGAGTGTATACATCCCTTCTTTTAGCAGGGATGCAGGAGCCCTGCAGGCACTCTGGATGTGACCCTGACAGCTCTGGCAAATGCCAGGCCGCTATATCAAATCCAAGAGTTAAAATCACTTCTCAGTCGAAGCCACCTTGGTGGCAACCCATCCCACTTGGATACAACAGGTGCAAAAACCTACTCTGTCACTTGGTGCATACCCCAAACATCTCTGCTACTTGCTCCTGTGAGGCTACAGAGTGCCAATAAACTTGGCACCCACCTCTTGCTGTTGCAGTAGAAATACAAATCTACTTCTGAGCTAGACTTTGCCAGAGCAGAGAGCTGGAAAAACAAACAAACAAACAAACAGGAAAAGTGCCTTTGACTCACTGCATTCCTGTTTCCTGGCTTCAGCGTGGCCCAGGCTGCCAGCAGGTCTCACTGGCAGAGCAGCACGGTGAAGGGCATGGCCCAGGCTGCCCAGAGTGCTCTCCCTTCTCGGGGCACGTTTGCAGTGACTCCTGCAGTGATGCATCCCCGAGGCTGCTCCCAGGCCCTGCAGCAGAGCTGTCTCACCGAGGGGGCCGTGGCCCTGAACAGCCAGCAGTGCACTGTTCCTCCTGCTCCCCAAACTGCCTGCAGCGTGTCCGTGATGTGGGAGTTACTGCACAGCTGGACACACTGCAAGGCAGAGGGACAGCAGCCAAAAGCACACACACAGTCCCCTCTCCCCCAGCATGGAGAGGGAGCTGTGCTCTCAGGTCTGAGGCAGCAAACCCCAAAGGCACAGGTACCATCATGAGACAGAACCCAAACTCTCCAGTCTCTCCTTCTAATATTTGACTGAAGAAAGACAAAGACAGGCCCAGATGTGTTTAGTTTATTTTCCCTGGATTTAGACACAGCTCTGGCTAACAGGAACAAACAAACCATGACCTGTGCCAGCCCCTGCACCTCCCTGCAGCAGAACCAGCTGGTGGGAGGGCTGGGGCTGCACGGAGGGGCAGCTCTGCAGGATGCACTGGGCAATGCTTCCTAGGGGATGGCAGCACAGGCCCACATGGAAGGTGCAGCATTCAGAGTCAAGCTTTGGATGCAGCAGTGTTGTGCATGTGGAGGGACTGTGAAATGGGGGTCAGCTCTCCAAAGTGAACAGTTGCCCTCCCCTTCTTCTCCCCAGCTTTTCCTCTGGCTGTTTTGAAAGGGGATGGAGTTAAGTATTTACAGAAGAGGCACTCAGGCAGGGAAGGCTCTTCAAAGGCAGGACCTGTGGGCAGTTCTTTGGGGAGCCAACCTGATGAATCTTTTCAACTATCTATGAGGGAAGGGAGATAACAACAAAGGAATAAGCAATGCTGGTAGCTTAAGAATGCCCAGAGCCTTTTCCTCTGCAGATGCAGCATTGAGGGAGATGGAGTTAAGTATTTAGAAGTACTCAAGCAGGGAAGGCTCTTCAAAGGCAGGAACCTGTGGGCAGTTCTTTGGGGAGCCAACTTGATGAATCTTTTCAACTATCTATGAGGGGAGATAACAACAAAGGACTAAGCAATGCTGGTAGCTTAAGAATGCCCAGAGCCTTTTCCTCTGCAGATGCAGCATTGGAAGACATGCAGCATTGGAAGCTGCATGCAAATGGAAGATGCAGCAAATAACTCTTCCAACATTTTTCTGGGTGGTAATAGTTCCCTCTTCACAGTCTGGGCCTTTATTTTTCCAGATGCAGAGTTTCCTTCTATCTTGCCCAGGACCAGCTTTTGAGGAGGTCTCTACAGAAGGACAATCTTTGTCTACAGCCTTTGCAGCCAGTGCCTGGATGGGAAGAGGAGGCTTCTGAGCCTGGGAGGTTTGAACAGGCACAAGCTACAGGAGCAAAGAGAAAAGACAATTCTCTGTTGCAGATTCTAAGTCCTGGGAATGGCAAAGCTGGCAGAGGGGAGCAGAAAAGGACTGACAAAAGAGCCAATGCAGCAGGGAGCTGAGCAAAGCAGTTCAAGGATGTGAACTCCAGCAAAGGTCCCTGCAGTGTTTTCTGGCTAGATTGCAGCCTTGCAGTAATTTCAAGTGAAGATTGCTGAAACCTGCCTTTTTAGGAACTGCATTCCAGCAGCAGAAGCAGCTGTTGGGTCAAAATAAAAGCGGCCCTTATGTCTGGGACAGAAATCCTGTGACTCAGTGCCTGTTCTGACTGAGATAGGGGCTGCTCTGATCCCACACACAGGATTAAATTTAATGGTTGGGGAGGAATGATTTACTGGCCTAGCAGCAGTTACTTGACTACTTGCTTTCACTGCAACATCGTCAGGCTGGTCCTCTGAGCAAATAAATACTGCCACACCATGAACATCTGCTGCTTCTGCACTGCCAGGATGGGAGGATGTGCCAGGACATCCAGAGTACAGAGCTACACCATGACCATCCAACACCATGGCAGTGTAACTTCCTAAGTTGCTTTCCAACAGGGACCCAGAAATTATCACCACAAACTTTGGCTTCTACCAGCAGCAGACTGGAAGCTCAAAGGATGCAGCGTGAAGCAGCATCCTTCATGTTCCCAGGCCATCAGCAAGAGAAGGGAGTGAACATGAGTGACAGACACTATTTCACCAGAGTCAGCTGCAAATCACATCCCCTCATGCCTGTGCAGAGCTCATGGCCCTGCTCAGCAGCTGATTTCCAGAAGCTCTGCTCAGAATTAATGCCCAAACACCAGCCTCACATGGCTACAGAGAAATCTCCACTTTGTCAGGACTTGGATTTTCCTTTGTTTTTTTCCCCTAAAAGGCATATTTAAAATGGTGAGAGACAGTCATAACTCCAGTTTTTGTGCTCCAGTTTCCCCTAGCAGGAGCAGGAAGACTGGTGCATTAGGAACCTGAGAATTTTCTCCAGCAGATGCTAAAGCGAAACAGCTACTTTTGGTTGAGAAAGAAAAAAAATGGGTTCTCCAAGCGGGTAGATTGGGCCTGAATGAGTCCTGAGAAGAGAAAAACAGGGAATGCTGGAAGCAAAGGCAGCCCCACCAGGAGGGGATGAGAGTTCCAGCAAAAGCTGTGCCAAACACAGAAGAGGCATTCCTGAAACTCCACAGTCATATTAACCTGTTAATTTATACAGCATCTCTGTACAAAAATAGAAGGGTTCTAATAAGATTAACAATATTAAATAAATATTTAATAGAAAAAGTCTTTGGCCTAGTTCATAGCTCATCCTTTGGGTTGATGTTCATTTCACTGGGTCCTAGATGCTCCTGGTCCAACATTGCAATCACTTCATCTGCCTGGATTCGTTCCTGCAAGAGGGGAAGGGAAGAAATGGTAACAGCAGAGCTTCAGTGCCTGCTCTAGCTAATTCACTGAGGCTCAGGCTGTGGGAGGACACACAGCAAGGATTTTACCCCAGAACCAGCAGTGTAGGTGAGAGGATGGGGGAGAGCCTGGGACTCAAGCTGGGGATTTGCTGGGCAAAATTAATCAAATCCCTTTCCACCTCAATGCCTGATTCCCTCCTCTCTGCAGGGCTGCAGTGGTTGGGGCAGAGCTGATGTTCTGTAGCTCCCTTATCACACTTCACTGGCAGCCACTGCCACAGCACACCCTCCTCCTGTCCCCTCTGCTTGTTGTTGATTTCCAGCTCCCTGGGCAGGGCTGATTTCCTACCATACAGGCACCAAGCCTGGAGGAATTTCTACTAGTGCAAAAAAACTGTGAGACACTGAATTACGTGTCTCAAAATAAGCTTTTTCCCAAACCTCGCAGCCCACCTCCATCACAAGGCAAAGGAATGAGGGTTTTGCATTCTCCCTGCATTTAGTTTTGCTTAGTCTTGTATCTTTTATTTTTACAGAGCAGAATTGCTCCCAAAGGGAGGCAGGGGCTGGTACAGCAGCTTTTTAAAACAGAATGTGGAGAGTGCCTGGTGAAAGGCATCACAGCCCAGATTTTCCAAGGCATCTTGGGTGCTCAGAGCCATGGACTTCAAGTTGCTGAAATGCCAATGGGAGGACTTAGCAGCAGGACTCACACAGCACTCTGGGCTGTGGATGGCTCTGCAGGAGCTCCCCATCCATCAGGCTGCTGCCACTAGGTGTCAGGAATGGCCAGCCCAGCCCTGCACGGAGCCCTTCCACCCCCATTCATCACCCCAGCCCAGCGCTGCACCCCACGGGCCAAGGGCAATGTGTGCCCAGGACCAAGAATAGCAGGAAAAACCTCTCCTGGGGCCACCAGCTCCTGTCACGGGAGTGCTGCTGCGGGGACTGTAATGGGATGAAAACAGATGACTGGGACTGGAGAAAATATGATGGTCCTAGTTCCTGTGAGATGCTGGGTATGCCCCAACTCCTCACACAGGATGGGGGGACTCACCAGCTCTCTGTAGAGAGGGTCCAAGGTGAACCAGAGAGCCACAGCGCAGCGCTGCCCTTTGGTGACCGCCTTCACCCCGTGGGGGTTCTCGCCGCCCGACGAGAAGCTGATCATCCTCCCACACTTGGGCTTGATGGAGGCCTGCAGGGAAACAGCACAGCCAGGCTGGCAAGGGACTGCACACGCTGGCTTGGCTGGGCTCACCATGCTCCAGGGCTTGGGAGCTCACTGGGCATCCCCTGCATCGCCCCAGGGCCTGGCGAGCTGCTCAGGGGGACGTGTAGAGCTCTGGGCATGGCTGGCAAAATGTGTGGGGTAAATAGGGAGGTGTGAAGCTTGCTCCTGCTGAGCAGAAATGGTGCAGAAAGGACATAATGGCATGGAGTCTCTGCAAAGCCTCTCCACAGGTGACCACCTAGAGCAAAATGGGGCCATGGCATAACTCCAGGGAGGTCCAGGGTGAGCCTGGCATGGCTGTGAAACACCTCTTTCTTTCTTCTCATGGCAGAGTCCACAACAGTCCTGCAGGACCTCAGGAGGAGAATTGCCAACCAAACCAACCCTTGGGCACTTAGGTAGACACAATCTACCCTCCAGCTTCTCCAGAGATCCCAGCATGGTGCCCAGACCTCTATCCAACCACAGAGTGGGTGCCCAGCTTCCTTAATGGCCCCAAACAGAGGTGAAGGCTCATGCCTGAGCCACATCCCTGTCAGGGTCTGATGTCCACCACTGTCACCCTCTCTGGAACAAGATACCTGCATCTGTATGGAGACACCAGTTCATGTTTCACCACGAGATGAGGTGGCAGCTCAGCAGTCCTCCAGGCCAGGGACAACTACCAGCCTTCCCTGCCTGCACTGGGTGTGGGGAGAACCCCTAATCCACAGGTTTACTGCTTGGCATGGCCTCTGGGGAGGGAGCACATGGTCTGTGCACTTCTGCAGCAGGACTTTGTATGGGCTTTTTGCCAGGTAGGAGCCACAGGCTGCCAAGGGAAGCCCAGAGCCCTGAGCATGGACTGCTGAGGAACAGCTTTTGGCCCAGAGCACCAACTCACTGTCACAGTTTTGGCGTCCATCTCGGTGAAAATGAACTCGCCACCTTCAAAATCTGCATTCATGTACAGGAGGGCACTGGGGAAGGAAGTGGGAAACCCTGGTTAGGAGAGCACTGGGGAGGTCTCAAGGCTGACCCCCACATCCCAGACAGATCCCACATTGCTCCACTAAATATGGGTGGGGGACAGCCAGAGGGAGAGAAGTCCCTGGGAGATTCCTTCCTACCTGTAATCCCGAAAGGTGTAGGCAGGAGGTTCCTTCCTCCTGAACAGATCCCACATTGCTCCACTAAGATATGGGTGGGGGACAGCCAGAGGGAGAGAAGTCCCTGGGAGATTCCTTCCTACCTGTAATCCCGAAAGGTGTAGGCAGGAGGTTCCTTCCAGCACTCATTGGCTTCGGGGTCCAAGAGGCAGTTGTCAGCATGGATGGGATGGCTCAGATCATTCCTGCGCTCCTGCTGGCCTAGGCAGGACCATGTGGAGGAAGGGGGAAGGAGAAGGGATGGATGAGATGGAAATGCCATGCTCTGTGGGGTCCCATCACAGGGTGGGAGCCTACCCTGACCCCACTCCAGGTGGTGTTCACAGGTGAGAGGAGGAAAGGAATGGCTGGGGAGAAAAGGCAACATCTGAAGACTCAGATCTGCACAGCTCTGCCTGTTCCCGGCTGCAGTGAAGTGAGATGGAGAGCTGGGGCTGGGGTGGAAAGGAGAAGGGACAAACATGAGGAGGAAAGAGAAAAGGAAGGAGAAAATAGGAAGAGTTGCAGATATAAAAACCAAGAGACATCCCAGAAATTATATTTTTTTGGGACAGCACTACCCACTTTTTGCTGCTTGGGATGCTGACTTTGCCCAGCCCTTGGCCACCAATTTAAGCATTTAGCAAAACAGAGCCACTCTGAGCTCATAAACCCCCATGGAGGGCTGAAGCCCTCCCACGCTCCAGTGCCAGCCCCAGCTCCTCACCGGAGAGGGCGGTGCGGCACACCAGGTGTGTGTAGGAGAAGTAGAGCGTGGAGTTGAGCAGGAAGTAGGACTGGACGATCCTGCGAGCCTTCTCACTGATGTCGTAGAACAGCCGGGCACTCTTCAGCGGGACACGGCCCTCGTAGCCATACTGGGCAAGGAGAGGGCCAAGGAGAGGTCAGTGTCATGTGCAGACTGGGAGGGAGGGCACGGGAGAGGAGGAAAAGGAGGGAGCTGTACCTTGAGGGCTTTGAGGACAGTGGCTCCTTCAAATCTCTCATTTGGGGTGTGGGGGGACGTTTTGCCCCTGTAACCATCTCCAGCCAACATGATCCCCTGGAAAACAGAATACAGATGAGGGGTGAACTGGTGTGTCAGGAGAGAGGGATCTGCAATGGGAGTACGTGGCAGTACAATAT